CTGCAGCAGCTGACATACCCACTTGCCACACAGTAGGGCGGTCTCAGCTGACTGCCATCTAGATCTTCCCACCCAGTCCTACTATCTAGGGAGAGCAAATGTCCTGTGGCTGGCATATCTGAGGAATAGCGTGGAGGCACCTGAAGCTGCTGAGGACCATATGGAGGTCAGAGAACTGGAAGGCCAATTAGTTGGCAAATGTCCAGTCTGTCGATGGTGACAGGGACTCAGTTAAGAGCACTAAGGGCAGGTGGAGGAGGGCATGATTAGATTCTGGACATTGATATTTTGAAGAAAAAGCAGCAGGATATCTTAACACATTGGATATGAGCAAGAGAAGAATCAAGGGCCTCTCCTAAGTTCAAGGCTGAGCAGCTGCGGGTATGGGATCACAATGAACCCAAAGGGGCAAGGTGGTGTCTGGGCCATAGTTGTTATGTTGGAGCCCTGGATGGTGGTCTCCTATGGGACTGGGACCAACATAGAGTGGATACACCAAACGTAACTGTTTGCTAGACGGAGGTCACCTTGCACATCCTGGAGGTGGGGGCTAGAAACTACACCAGACTTGGGATCAAAGGCTTTGTTTCCAGTTCTGGCTCGGGTGCCATTGGGTCTGTCTGACCTCAGTTTCCTCATGTGTAAAGTGAAGTGATTAATGACCCGTATGATTTCTTAAGCCCCATTTGTCTAGAATCAGGAGATGCTCAGAGGAGATGTGACTCTATGCCTGCCTCACATGCAGTGACTGTCAGTGAAAGTTCCAAGTTATTTATAAAGACAATGATCAATGGCCGGAGGCTGTGGCTACTCTTGGAACTGCTCAGTAGGATCTGCTGTATCGTCAGAGTGGGAGGTGACACTCCTGGGAACCCACAAAGACCCTGCCCTTGTCTGGGTAAGGAGAACGACACCAGTCTGTGTCTTCTAGGCCCCCCGCTTCCGAGTGGCTGCAAGAAGGTGGAGGCACCATGGGGGACCCAGAGCATGTCACTTCCATCTTAAGAGACATGAAAGCTGAACACAAAGTTCTGGTTAAAAGAACAGCACCTCGCTGCTTGTAAGAGACTCTCCTGGCAGGTGCAGACCCCCCCACAACACCCATGTCCACCCCCATGCCACTCTGCCCCAGCCTCACCCCACATGGGATTTGATGTCCTACACCCAGCTGCCACCCACACAGATGCCCTTCTCACCCTTCTTGGGTTCTGCCACCCCAGCTGACCTTGGGTGGGAGGGCTTCCTCACCCGGCTTGGACCATGACACCCATGCCAAGCTGCCCCTCATTTGGACGCCCTCTGCACATTGCATGGACTCCGAGCTGCCCACATTACCATCTGCTTTTGAACAACACATTAAAACTATCTCTGGACTCTGTGCCCTAAAAGACAGAGACTTCTGCATCTCCTCCATTGCCCACCCTCCTCTTCCCAGTGCTGATTTTGTTAGAATAGTGTTCTTTGCATCTATGATATTTATACTCTCTTCTGTAATATTTCCCACCATTGCTTAGGGGGTTTACAATTGTAAAACATTCATTGCTGACTATCACTTCTCTTTTTTCACTATTTAATTTAACCCTTTGTTGGCAGACTTCGATCATGATGTAGATTTTCTGTTTTGAAAGGGCTCATGGACACTGTATTTCATAAGGCCTTGCATGCATGAGACAGTTGTCAGAACATTCCCAGAATATTCTGGCATTTGCTCAGAACATATACATTCTTCGCCCTGTCTTCTGAGATGCAGTGTTGTTATGTGGCTAGCCTATTTCTGTCACACACAACGTGATGCTTCTGGTACGACCTTCTGACTTGATCACTGTTTCTGATAGCAGCTTGTATGATTCAGTTTTGTTCACAAGCTTCCATAACTTCATGCTATTTTGAGTGTGGATCATCTGTATCAGTTCCTTTCCTGGGTCACTGGGTGGGCTTCCAATGACAGCTGAAAGATCTCTTTGTTCCCAGATAGCTTTTAATTCAATTCGATTATATTAACTTTTGGCTTCTCTGTTCTCCTCCAAGGGAATAGCCAGTGTACATTTGTGGCATCATGTCTCTGTCTCCTGTACCCATGTCTGCCTCTCCACACATTATACTGTGTTCACATGAATGTCACTTCAGGAAATGTCCACAAGGCACATGTCTATGCGTTTTCAGGCAAGATTATCTTTGGGTTTTGTGGTTCTCTCCCCTCGTTCCTTCTTTCTGGCCACGTTGGCTCTTTCTCTTCCGCTCCTTCTGTTTCCTGAGGTCAGCCTGCTGGTTTTCCATCACTCTACCTTGTACTTCACTCTCTTCACATTTCTAAAATGTTGTCCATCACTTCCTTGAGACTGAGTAGAACTATTCATATGTGCTGATCTTTCTGTGTTTCTTTGGACATTTCCTCTCATGAACTCTGCTCTTCGTTTGCTTTGTGCTTTACTCTTTTAACTTACAAGCTTTGGAAGGTGCTTTTCCCCTTTTGAAGAAAAGTTGGTATTTACCAATGTCTAATGTGGGGAGAGAGGCGGCTGAGAGGGTCTGCAAGCTGGAGCAGGTGGGGGCCTGGAACCTCCCCCTTGTGCTGAGGGCAAGGGTCTCGTTTGTTCTCAGCTCACCCAGCATCACCTACCTGGCGGCTGTCTCCTTGGCAGCCTCTAACTACTCCTTCCCTTCTGTCTCATTCACCCCCATCCCCTACAGCCTTCTCCACTGCCGGGGGGCCCAGGTCATGTGCAATCAATATGCCAAGTCTGCCAATCAGAGTGTAAAGATAAAAAAATGACAACACCCAATGTTGGAGGTGGGGGCTTACTATTTATTAACATATTCATACAAGGGTGGAAATGTTTCCAGCCTCTTTAGTAATATCCATCAAAATTGGGAAAATGTACAAACCAGTCACACAGTTATTTTTTATAGGAATGGCCCTGCGGGTATATTCATAAATGTGCATCAAGCCACATATGCAAGGAGATTTACTACACAATTGCGTGTAGTTGCAAAAAAAAAAAAACCCAAAACAACTGAAATGCCGGTCATGAGTGAAACAGTTTTTTTATTCAAGTTTTTTAAATTTTTATTTTTGAGAGAGAGAGGGAGCACATGAGTGGGAGGGGGTGGGGCAGAGAGAGAGAGGGAGACACAGAATCCAAAGCAGACTCCAGGCACCACAGAGCCCAATGCGGGGCTCAAACTCACAAACTGAGATCATCATGACCTGAGCCAAAGTCGGACGCTCAACAGACCAAGCCACCCAAGTGCCCCTGATGCAATTAAATAAACCATGATATGTAGCTGTCATGGAATACTATGAAGCCATTACAAACAAAAATCTATAGATACTCATGTGGAATGATTTTCAAAATACATTCATTGAAAATAGCCAAGATGTAGAACAATATGTGTGACTTTTCTTTGAGGGAGGGAATATATGCACATAACTATGCTTTAGATGCATGGGATTTCTCAAAAGGACACAGATACACACACACACACACACACACACACACACAGACACACACATGTTATAGTCCTTACCTTTGGTAGGGGAGTAGAGTAGAAGGGAGAACACACTTTTTTATACTACATTTTGTGTACTCTTAAAATTTCTCTTTCTAAAAATTCACGAATATAAAAGTTGGCTTATCTTCCCAGTTTTTCACTAATTCCCTCTTGCCATGTAGATGCCAATGGTGCATAAGGGAAGAGTACTTCCTTGGGCCTATGGTCACATTAACTTGGACCCATAGTCATCTCGAGCCCTCCTACTCCCACACCAGGCTGTGTCTGCATTGACTTGCCTGAGTTCCTCTGGGTGTATTTAAATTTTGTTAATGTTTTATTTATTTCTGAGAGAGAGAGAGAGAGTGAGCAAGGGAGGATCAGAGAGAGAGGGAGATACAGAATCTCAAACAGGCTTAGCTGTCAGCACAGAGCCCGACGCAGGGCTTGAACCCACGAACTGTGAGATCATGGCCTGAGCAGAAGTTGGACGCTTAACCGACTGAGCCACCCAGGCGCCCCTGTCCTCCGGGTGTATTTAGAAGCCAGAGCTGGTTCATGGAATTAAGAATATGCAGATCCCCGGGGCGCTGGGTGGCTCAGTCTGTTGAGTGTCCGACTTCAGCTCAGGTCATGATCTCACAGTTCGTGGGTTCGAGCCCTGAGTCAGGCTCTGTGCTGACAGCTCAGAGCCTGGAGCCTGTTTCCAATTCTGTGTCTCCCTCTCTCTCTGCCCCCCGCCCTCACTCATGCTCTGTCTCTCTCTGTCTCAAAAACAAACAAACTATTAAAAATTTAAAAAAGAAAGAATATGCAGATCTCCACTTGCTGAATGAGAAGGCAAAACCACCCACATGGGTGGGCAGGTAGGTAGCTCCCTCAATAGCCACACTCTCGCTTTAGGTACATGAACCACTCAGGGACCTTTTAATTAAAGGCACAGTTTCAATACACACACACAATGGAAGCAGAGTCTCAAAATTTATTATTTACAGACCCAGGGGACAGGCATTCAATGAGCCTGGGGAAGGGCAGCCTTCCATCCTGGACCACGAGTGAGCAGGGTGACGGTCCCTGTGACTTACACAGGGATCGGGGAAGAGGTCACTGAGTTTCCACAGAATCAACTCCAAGTGGTTGATTTAAAAGGTGCCCCAGACAATGAGAAACAATGACATCTGGCCATGTGTAGCAACATGGATGGACCTTGAGGGTGTTATGCTGAGCGAAATAAGTCAGGCAGAGAAGGATAAATATGATGTTTGCACGTATAGGAGGATTAGGAGGAACTTAACTGAGGATCATGAGGGAGAAGAAGGGGGGAAATGGAGGAGGAAAGGGAGAGAGGCAAACCACGAGAGACTCTTGAATGCTGACAAAAACTGAGGACTGATGGATGTTGGGGGGGAGGGGGGATGGGCATGGAGGAGGGCACTTGGGGGGATGAGCACTGGGTGTTATGTGGAAACTAATTTGACAATAAACTATTTGTAAAAAAAAAAGTGCCCCAGAAAAAACAAAGAAGGAACTTATGCAAGAACTCTAAGCTTGGGTCCTTATCTAAATTTCCAGAATAGGGGTGTGAGAAGGGCTGCCATCCTGTAAAAGGCCTGGGAGCAACTCAGAAAAACAATAGCTCATTTTTCTCAAAAGTTGCTTTACTTCCCCAACATGAACATGGAGAATGTGCGCTTTTTCTGACTGATGAACAGAAGGTTCCTCTTCGGCTGTGATCCATGTTTTCTAACAAAGATGATGCAGCCATTCGAATCAGCATCTTGACACCAGGACTTCACGTAGGTCTCCCACCTTGGGCCGTAGTGACACTGCATGGTCACTGCCAGAGGAAAGTAGAAGGAAGGAAATAATGAAGAAATGAAAAAATTAATGAAGTAGAAAGGAAATATAAAATAGAGAAAACTTGGGGAGTCTGGCTGGCTCAGTTGTTTAAGATTCTGACTGCATTTCAGGTCATGATCTCACAGCTTGTGAGTTCGAGCCTCGCGTCGGACTCTGTTCTGACAGGTCAGAGCCTGGAGCCTGCTTGGATTCCATGTCTCCTTCTCTCACTGCCCCTCCCCTGTTTGTGTTTTCTGTCTCTCAAAAATTAATAAACATTAAAAAAATAAAGAAAACCAAAAGAGCCAAAATTCTATTTGTAAAAAACCCCAAAACCTTAGCAAGATATTCATGATAAAAGGAGAGGTCTGAATAATTGATACCAGGAATGAAAAAGGTATATCACACAATATCCTGGGCATTTTAAAAATAAGGAAAGATAAAAACGGGATAGGATATAAAAGGATATTTAAACAAGTTCATGCCAACAAAATTGAAATTTTAGGTGGAATAAACAAATTTCTAGCAAAAATAATCTGATATGCTAAAATAGGCACAGATAGCAATAGAAAACCTGATTCATCTTACAACTATTCAAATGAACCAGATCCATTATTTTTTTTAAGTTTTCATTTATTGACTGATTTTTTTTATAGAAGAAATATTCTTTTTATTTATTTATTTATTTTTTACAAATAGTTTATTGTCAAATTAGTTTCTACATAACACTCAGTGCTCATCCCCAAAGTGCCCTCCTCCATGCCCATCCCCCCCTCCCCCCCACATCCATCAGTCCTCAGTTTTTGTCAGCATTCAAGAGTCTCTCATGGTTTGCCTCTCTCCCTTTCCCCCACCATTTCCGCCCTTCTTCTCCCCCTTGTTCCTCCGTCAAGTTCCTCCTAATCCTCCTATACGTGCAAACATATGATATTTGTCCTTCTCTGCCTGACTTATTTCGCTCAGCATAACACCCTCAAGGTCCATCCATGTTGCTACACATGGCCAGATTTCATTGTTTCTCATTGCCATGTAGTATTCCATGGTATAGATAAACCACATCTTCTTGATCCATTCATCTGTTGATGGACACTTAGGCTCTTTCCATGTTTTAGCTATTGTGGAGAGTGCTGCTATGAACATTGGGGTACATGTGCTCCTATGCCTCAGCATTTCTGTATCCCTTGGGTAAATTCCTAGCAGTGCTATTGCTGGGTCATAAGGGAGTTCTATTGTTAGTTTCCTGAGGAACCTCCACACTGTTTTCCAGAGGGGCTGTACCAGTTTACATTCCCACCAACAGTGTAGGAGGGTGCCCGTTTCTCCACATCCTCGCCAGCATCTAGAGTTCTCTGATTTGCTCATTTTAGCCACTCTGACTGGCGTGAGGTGGTATCTCAGTGTGGTTTTGATTTGTATTTCCCTGATTAGGAGGGATGCTGAGCATTGTTTCATGTGATTTATTGACTGATTTTTGAAAGAGAGGGAGAGTACAAACAGGATCAGAGAGAGAGAGAGAGAGAGAGAGAATCTGAAGCAGGTCCAGGCTCTGAGTGATCAGCATAGAGACTGCTGTGGGATTCGAAAATAAAATAAAATAAAACAAAACAAAACAAAATAAAATAAAATAAACCTCTCCAAAAGAAACCTCCAGAACCACAAAGCTTGAATGGAGATAAACAGTTAAGGAATAATGTCTACCTTACACAGAAAATTCCAGAACATAGGATAAGAAGATGCAATCCCAAATTCATTTAATGAGACTCCTTTTTTTAACCTTTATTTACTGTTGAGAGACAGAGAGGGACAGAGCATGAGCAGGGGAGGGGCAGAGAGAGAGGGAGGCACAGAATCTGAAGCAGGTTCCACTGAGCCTTCAGCACAGAACCCGATGGAGGGCTCAAACCCACAAATGCGAGATCATGACCTGAGCCAAAGTCAGATGCTTAAAGACTGAGCCACTCAGGCGCCCCAAGACTAGCATATTCTTACTGGCAAAACCTGACAAGGGCAGTGCAAAAAAGAAATATAGGCAAAAATCACTCATGAACATAAATGCAAAAGTCTGCAACAAAAAAATCAACAAGCTGAATCCAGGGATATATATGCAAGATAATACATCGTCATCAAAATGGGTGTGACCCCAGAATACAAAAATGTTTGAACATGAGGGAATCCATAAGTATAATGTGCCACATTGATAGACCAAAAGCATATGATCATCTCATAGACACAGGCAAAAGTATTTGATAGATTTAAACAGTGCTTTGTGGAAGTCATTCTGGACCTCAGGAATCCTCACAGCACCCCAACTCTGCTGGACTCCTTCCCTCTGACACTGGATATGGAACAGGGCCTGGGAACAGTCGCTCTGAGTCCCAGCCCCAAACTCCAGAAAGAGCAGGGACACAGGGCACCAGAGGTCCAGGAAAGCACTGGCAGGAAATGGGGTCTCTGGGCCCCATGGGAGAAGGGTCCTTTGGCCCATGCGCTGAAACTGGGACCATCACCTGGATCTCTGTGGGCAGTAGACCAGGCACTGAGCTGTGCAGAGAAACACGTGCCCAGAAAGTCTCCATCCTGTCCTGGAGGAGGTGCTGGGAGCCATGAGAAAATCTAAGAGATGGAGGATCATGGCTTTCTATCACCACACCCTCCCTGCAAGCCCGACAAGACCCTACTCAGGCTGGGATGTGCTGAGGGTGGACATGATCAGGAAAAGAGGAGTTGCCTTCTCTGGACAAGCCTGCTGTGGCCGAGTCTGTCCTTCTCTGTTCCTTCTGGGGAGGCCAGATGGAGACATGCAGAGGTGTGGGGGCTCACTCTTTCTTCCAGTCCTTTCCAGATGCTTGGTGCTTTCCATTCACACTCACATAGGCACACACACACTCCCACAAGCACATGCACATGCACATGTGTGGTCTCAGGGGAGTTTTGAGACTCCTCTCATCCATCAGGGAAGGCAGAGAAATAGTCCTGACTCCCCTGGGGGTAGGTCCCACGGCCCCAGCACACAGGAGGGGTAGTCCCTACCTGGGTTGAAAATCACTGAAAATTTGAGCCCTATGTCAGTGCCAGTTCGCTCAATCCCACACCAATAGGTGTCTTCATCGTCCCGCTGGAGATTCTTCAAGGTCATGGTGAATGTTCGTTGGCTGTGATTGTCCTGGATGGACACTCAGCCCTTCTTCACCAGTTGCTCTGACCCGGTGGTTTTAACAAGAATTTTGCAAGAATCCCAGTCATGCCCACAACAAAACCATTCTTCTAGGATTCCCATCCTGGGCTATACTCACTGGATCTGGTCAGTGTGCCCCTGTGTGTGCCTCTCTCCGCTTCCTCCTGGCAGGTGGAGAAATGGCCTAGAAAACAGAAACCCAACATGTATCCCATCCTTCCTTTGGCCCAGGGCTGACCTGGGCGCTGCTGGAGCTTCTGGTCCTGCCCCGAAGACCAGCCAGGAGCCCCTGTCCTGTCTAATTGCCACATCCCTCCTGTCCCTTCATCCTGGAGGATTTCTTTTGCTGTCACCTGACTTGTGAATCCCCCTTGGGTCTCCTAACTGCCCAATACAGGGGTCTCTGCTCACCCACCATCCTACTGACCACCGTCCCCTGCCCACCCTCAGGCAGCAGCTCTTCCTGGCAGCACAGAGCTCGTACTGTAGCCACAAGGGGTATTTCTGAACCCCAGAGCTGGTGAGACACTGTGGCCCCTCCTCATCCCAGCCCATGACACTCTAACCCTCACTCACCTACAAACCCTCAACCTTTGAATCGACATGTGACATGGAACTAAACACACACACACACACACACACACACACACACCACTCACTCACTCACACACACAGGTGATTGCTTGATTCTATTACCTACACACCTTGCTCGTCTGTGTCTCCATACCTTTGTACAAGCTCTTCCTTCTGCCTACAATGTGCTTTCTTCTCTGCTTAAAGAAAACTCTTATATTCTCCTTCAAAGGTTGGCTCAAACTGTGTCTCTTCTATGGTTTCTCCAGTTCTGCAGCAACTTCGTCCCTCCCGGTGCCACCAGCACACTTCGTCGCTGTCTGGGTAGTTGAGCTAGTAACCTTGGATGGGGTCCTGTCTTTGGCTCATCCAGAGCAGAGACTCAGGCAGGTTGATGTGTGGGGACAAGCAATTCTCCAGAGAGCCTTGTTACTCCGGTTTTGCTGCCTGTCTTCCTTCCTGTTGTCCGAGCTCTTCAGAACAGTTCTTCCTGGCTTGAGTGACAAATCAAGACCAGTTGTCCTTTTAATTGATCCCTATATCTGAACCTCAACTTGACTGAGTGGGTCTCAGCTGGAGGTTGAGCACCTGTGCTTCTTCAGAGTTCCTCAGGAATTCATGCATCTACATATGTGAGCATATATGTGCATGTATGCATCTGTCTATCATCAGTCTATGGTGAAGTGAAAGTCTCTGCCATTTCCCCAGGACAGACCCTGTCTGTGTCCTGCCCTGACCCTGCAGAGGGTCAGTCCTGAAGCTCCCAAGCCACTCACCTTGGATGATGAGAAGGAGCAGAGCTGAAAGCAACCACATGTCCTGCCTGCCTGGCTTGTGTCGTTGGTGCTCAGCAAATGTCAACTGCCCTCCGGGGACTTGAACTGAACTCAGAGGCAAACTGCCTCTGTTTTCATTTTTTTAGTTTCTCTCATGTACTTCCCTTAAAATTTTCCTTCAGTTACTTCCTAGTTTCATTAATTAGAAGAAAATCAGTGCCTTCTTTGGGAGCATATGGCTGACATCATCATGTCTCTTTGGTGATTTAGGGAAGCAAAGCATCCCACTGGCCAGGGTGCTATTGCAATTGTGCATGAGGACCTGAGGGGCCAGTTGCCGGCAAGCCAGGTGACATACTGCAGCAGGGAGGGGACACCAGAACCTCAGAGTTGGGTCCAAAGGAGGGATGGACACATGTTGGGTTTGCACGTGACGAAGAATCAGTGCTCAGGGCTCACAACCAGCCTCGCTGGACATGCAGCCCCATCCTGAACCTCCTCCGGGAAGCCCACCTCGGTTCATCCCAGACCATCTCTCCTGCCCTGGGCCCTGGTCCAGCCCTGATCCTGCCCTCTGGCTCTTTCTCTTGGCATCCCCTGAGGTCCTGAGTCCCTCTGAGGAAGAGGTGCCATTGGGGGATTATAAGGAAGTGGTCCATTCCCATCAGATGCTTCCTCTGTCACCCTTTGGCAGATTTCCCCTGACTGTGGGCTGCTGGCCACTTCCCAGCCCCAAACCGCTTATGCTAATGATTCCTACATGACTTTCCCACAGACGTCCCCTGTTCCTTCAGATGTCCCCTCCTGACTGTCCCTTGCTCCCTTTTCCTCTCCCCTCTGAATCAATTTCTTTGTCTCCCTTTTCTTTTATGTTTTCCACCTTTGTGAGTTTGGGTCTACCTTGTGGGAGATTATTTTTTTTTAATCAGTTTAGTCAATACTATTTATTTTTTTTATTTTTATTTTTTACAAATAGTTTACGGTCAGATTAGTTTCCACATAACACCCAGTGCTCATCCCCAC